GCGCCACGGGTTTGCCCGAGCGTGTGAAATAGCGGGTCAAGTGTGTTAAAATAGGCTGGGGGGGGGGGGGCAATAAGGGAGGGGGAAAGACCCCCCTAACCCCAAACTGGTCCCATTCACCAAGGAGAAGGAGCCCGGAGAGGTGGCCTTGCGCCCAGCCCGGCCGTGCCCGGCTCCCTGCTCAACTGGTCCGGCCCTGGGAGCCGTGCGGGGCTCTGCCTTTCCTTTGCGGGCTCATCCCCGCCGACTGCCGCTGCCGGAGGAGCTGCCGAGGCGGCTGTGGCCCCTGCGGACCCTCTTCTTGTCGGCACATCGAGCAGTGCGAGGGAAAATGGACCCCCACTGGCCGGCTCCCCGCCGGTGGGTAGGGAGGCCAGGAGGCAGCGGGACGAGGGCTCTGCCAGGGGCGGGGCGCACTCCCCTCTTGGCCGGCCTGCCCGCTCCGGCAGCCCCCGCTCGGGCAGGCGGGCACCGGGCAGAGCGCTGCCTCTGCGGCTGCTTCGCTGAGCGCCGAGCCGGGGCAGCGCGGTCCGGTCCGGTCAGGTCAGGTCCGGTCCGGTCGGGTCGGGTCCGGTCCGCGCCTTCGCTCGCTGGAGCGCAGCCCCCTGCAGCCGCCAACCCGGGCGGCCTGGAGCGGCCCAAGGGCCCCCCCTGGCGGCACCGCCCCGCCACGCCCGCGCTTGGCAGCCCCCGGCGCCCCGGCCTCCCCACCATGGGGAACGGGAGTACCCCCCTCCATGAGCCGCCTTCACCGGCAGAGAAACTTCCAGTCCATGGAAAGAAAGCGCTGCCCCTGGAAGGGCCCGCACGGGCTTGGGCGCCGGGGCCCAGCACACATCTCTCCACACAGCTATCACCCAACGACTGAGAGAGGTGCGGCTCCTCGGGAGCCCTGCACTGTCACAGCCGTACTTCATGGAATTAACACGAATGAACGCCTGAACCACCTCTTAAGACACTGCTTGTGTTTCCTTTCTCTAGCACGTGCAACAGCCATGACCGTGGGGTGAGATGCGCAAGTGGTAAGGGCACTGGCTTGGGACAACCACATAACACGATAGTGAAGAGGAGACTTTTCAGGTAACTTCAAGGTTAATTTAAGACTTGGCCGCAAAATCTAAACTTGAATAATGCATGAATTGCAACGATTCCACCGGGATACAGTGGCTGGAAAGTGATTTCTCCCGACCCCAGTCCTATCATCCTATTTTCATCTCCAGAACAGAAGCCCTGGATTTGTTGCTTCCCCTGACAAAGAAACGTGTTGTCGCATGACATGACCAAGTCACTTACAACGGCACCATCCCTGTACACACACCGCCGCGCGTTCCGGTCTCTGGCAACAGACCTCAGAGATAAGAAATTGAAACTCACAGTCTGCACATCACAGACTCAGTGGTAGAAAACTCTCCAGTTTCCCCCCTTCCCTTTGAAGGTAGTCAACAATTCTGCTAAGCGCATGGCAATTTGCCCCCTTGCAGAAATACATCAGGCTGATGGCAGCTGTCAGCTCCTCTCCTGTCATTGAAAGGCTAATCCTAGAGTGATTCAGGCTGTTGACAGTGTCAGGGCAGGTTTCTGCTTGCAGAGATGAAGACTAGGGTCTAAGCTTGTCCCCCGTCCCCACAAAGGTAGGAAACAAAGAAGCGAAGGAAGGGAATAACGTAAGGAAGGAAAGGAAGAATGTAGGGGATGAAGGGAGGGAGGGAGGACTATGCCCAGGAGTTGTTAGAAAATAAGTGCTTTTTGAAACAGTGATATGGAATGGAGATGACAGATGGGATTTCACTTGACTACTGAGCCTGTGAAGCTTCAGCAAACCATTCCTGTCCGAAGAGGGGTCACTGCCAAGATGTCCCTCACACAGTGCTTGTTGCAGAGGTGAGTGTTCTGCTGTTGCTGTGTTAAGAGTTATGTGGCACATGAGACTTGGTTGTACCTGCACCTCTTGGTTTCATCCTGCTGCCTCTTACAAGTATCTGGTTTTGGCTACTACACAACCGATACCTGGCAGACCTGGTTCTGAGAAGTCTGTGAGATAAACCTTTGCTGTCCAAAATAAAGCTCCTCTATTGATGATCTTAATTTCTTTCATGTCTTCACTTTTCTCCTCTTCAAATGCAAAGTGATGGCCTTCAGAAATGTCCATGTCCACTGACATGCCATTGCCACTGATGGCACAAGCACATGAGAATCATTGCTGCTTCTCCTCAAGAAGAATTAGTATGTTTAATTTTTACCATAGGATGTTTTAGGTGGGAAGGGACTTTAAAGATCATCCAGTTCCAACCCCTGCCACAGGCAAGGACACCTTCCACTAGACCAGGTTGCCAAAAGCCCATTCAACCTGGCCTTGAACACAGCCTCTCTTGGCAACCTGTGCCAGTGCCTCACCACCCTCACTGGGAAGAATTTCCTAATATCAAATCTGTATCTACCCTCTTTTCAGTTTAAGGGCATTATCCCTTGTCCTATCACACAGTAAAATGTCACTCTCCAGATTTCTTGTAGGCACCCTTAGGTAGTGGAAGGCTGTTGGAGGTCTCCCTGGAGCCTTCTCAAGGCTGAGCAAGCCCAACTCTCTCAGCCTGTCTTCATAGGAGAGGTGCTCCAGCCCTCTGAGCATCCTCATGGCTTCCTCTGGACTCTCTCAAGCAGGTCCACTTCCTTCCTATATTGGGGTCCCAGAGCTGAACACAATACTCCAGATGGGGGTCTCACGAGGGCAAAGTAGAGGTGTGCCTACATGGGAATCAAGGGTAATGAGGAAGGCACAGAAAAATATCCACGGTTCTAGATGCTGAAATACCTGTTGATGCTGCCCACCTTTATATCTTGCACAACACAAATCACATATAAATTGTATCCCTTCCCCAAATCCCTCCTAACTTTTTGACCTGGCAGTAGTTCCAACGAATATTAGTTCCTTTCTATGAAAAAGGAGCAATGCAGACCTGTCACTCTGAAATTCCTGTGCTTTACACACCAAACTCATTACCATGCATTGCTTCAACACAGGATTACCTGAAGATACACATTAAAATCCCTGACCTGACTGGATCCTGCGCAGTCCATTGCAGGAATACAGATCTGAGCCCTGGGCAGCATTGCTATCCGCAGTGTAGGGAAAGTTCTATACGGTTTCTGAAAAGTGGTTACAGCACACGTGCACCAGGCACTTTTCAAAGTAAAACAGATCTGTTCATTTTTATTTTCAAAATACCAAAGCAGTAAAATCATGTAATTGAGTAATCACTTGCCAAATTTCCTTTTTTAATCTAATCTATTTTGAGTTACATCAGAGCCAAAATGCAAATTAAACTGGTAAGGTTCCAAGATTTTTTTTTTCTTTCTCTTTTAGAAAGCACAGTTTAAGGGGCTCATAAGTAAGGAAATTTTAAAAACCATTTGTTTTGTACGCGCTAAACTTTGGAAAACAAGTTTCAGCCTGAAGTGCATTTTCATAGGTAATAGGTTAAATAGAAGTCTTATGTAAATTGTAATCTCTTCTTCACAGCTCCGATGTTCACTTCATAAAATTTGATTTGAAAACAATGCCATTGTTTTAAAAGAGGCTCAAAAGGTCAGAAATGAGGATAAAAAAAGTTTCCATCTAACAAGGCACATGTATGGGTCTCTCAGCTTTAAGTACGGGATCACAAAAGGGGAAATTCCTGAGATTGCTCATTTGCAGTCTCTGTGAATAAAATTTTTTTGGGATTCGTGTTGCAGCAGCACCGAACACCAAACATAGTTGTCAGCCTGGGCAAACTCATCAGGCCTTGACCACAAGGCGAGAAGGATCCTCACCATCCTACCACAGCCTCACTAAGTCAGACGTCTCAGCCCATTAACCAGCTGGTACGTATCAGCCTTACAGAGCACCCGCTGCTGGGAACCTTTGCTCTTTGGGTTGTGGTTGTTCAGATTAAGTCCCTCACTAGCTGGAAGCAGACCCCTGTGAGGAGCTGTGTGGCATTGCCGGTTGCCTTCCACCATTGTGCTGATGTCTGTCATGGTGGTTGGCTTTTCTGCCCTTGAAACTCTTCCTCAAATAAGGCACTTCTTACACCTCCCTGCCCCTTTTGTAAGGCTGCAAAGGCACAACTGACCCTGTTAAATCTGAAATACTTTAAAGCAGCCAGTTTTCCTCTTCCTGAACCCCCCCCCTCCTGATGCTGCTGTAAAGAGCTGTTCAGGGAAGGGACAGGCCAATCCTTAGCACTCAAAATGCAGCAGAAGACATACAGGAGAGTGAGATGGAGGAGTTTCAAGGCTGATAGTTCGCAATAGACTGACTGACCTTGCAGCTGCTCTCCTAAAGGGGATCTTGCTCCTCTTTAATGTGCCTTTCCTACCCTGTCCCCAAGCAGCAGTACTGGTACTCATCAAATCCTGATGACCTGGTTAAGTGAGCTAAACAACGTTTTGTTTTTCTTCTGCTGCTGCTAATGGCTGAGTTTTCTACTCATTTAACTCCTCAGCTCTATCTCCCTTAAACTGCTAGGTGACAGCCAGTGCCAGTTCAAGGGGAAGCCAGGGCAGTGTGTGGCCAGGGAAACAGGGACACTCTTTTTTCTAGGCAGCTAGCAGCCCAGATTAGCTGCGATGTCAACCCACGCCCTCAGGTCTGATGGCGAGGGAGACTAAAGACATGATAGAGAGGGTGAAGGAGAGGCAGGAAAAGCGCGAAATCAAAACAGAGGAAGGATAAAGAGAGTACGCATACTAGATGCAAAGTAGGGGCTGGACTGTGAGTGTTGATCGTGGGAACAGATGGAGAGATAGAGAAATGACACCCATTACACTCAAAGTCATATGTATGAGAGAGGGGAGGGCAGAAACAGCATGGTGGGAGAGATGGAATTCACACAACAGGAAAAAGATCTGCAGAAAATAATGGTTTAAGAAAAACTGGAATTAGGACTTACTGTTCACTGGAAATTCACGGCCTAGTTGTATCAGTGCGCTTAGGAAAGAACCATCCTTTGAAAACCAGCTCAATACTTTCTCTTTTAATGTCTGACATTTGCAAGGATCACCTGCTCTTTGTACATTGCATAGTCACACAAGAAGAATTAAAAGGTACAGCATCAGCTTTGGCCAGCCTAATAAACACTGGATTAACTAGAGGCATAACATTGCACACAATAAACTAGAGCCAAATAAAATATTCTTCCAGTTCTGTAGAGGCTCAAGATGCAAACAAAAAGATTTTGATACTTCCATGGCTCTCCATTGGCACATGAACCAGCAAGGAATATTCATTAGACCTGACTATAAATGTTTATCTTGTGTGGGAGGTCTTAGTATAGCAATATGTATTAGAAACTTGATATTTTTCCAATCAAACCTTCCCACTTCCATCTACATATATTTAATTGTAAATATTAATTTTCCTACCTGAAGCACTTTAAATAAATGTACAATAACCACATTCTACACAGAAGATGAGTGAATAGCTTAAGGAGACTTGTGATGAGCCCTAGCACCGCTCCATCCTCCACACAGCTGGTCCAGAGCAATGCAGGATGATCCCTCCTGCCAGCTTGTGGGGGGTCTCATAGACCAAGTCGATGATCTCACCCTCGTTTCTCCTGAACTGGGATACTTTCCCCCAGACCAACCAATCACAGTTGATGCAAACTGGCATCTATACCAGTGGAAAGGTGACGGCTGGTAAGAAGGTGCCCCCTCACACACAGAAGTGGGTTTCTTCGGAGCACAACCAACTTCAATTTACACTTTTCTGAGCACTGAAATATGCCAGCAATAGAATTAATGTAACTGCAGCTTCAAAACAGAACTGCAGAATGCACAGAAACTCTCAAGTGAGGTGTTGTCATCTGACCTCAACTGAACAGTGCTGCACAGTGCTGCCTTAGGGGAGAACACCCCTTGCAGTGGTGAGGTGGCAGGAGCCCAGAGCTGCCCTAGCTCTCTGCGAGAATTCCCTGAATACATGGCACCTTTCAGCAGGCACAAATCCACACCACCTATGCACTGGGGCTATGGGCATACTGCAGGAGTGTTTTTGACCGCTGCTGTCACCCAACGCACAGTTGACACAGAGTGCATCACAAGTTCCTCCGATGTATGCAAAAGCCCCAGTTTGTGACAGGAAACATACTTTTTTCTTCATGATGAGAAGCACATTTTAGAAAAAGAGAAAGAAAGTTTTCCAGGCAAGATGCACTGATTGAAGACAACTGAAAAAAGGCTGGAAGCTATTCTTTCAAGATGAGGTTATGAAACCAAATTGATAAAATGGGTAACTGTGAATAAGCATGAAAAAAGCAATGTCTTATCAGCTGGTTTCATAGGAGATGTAAGTTGGGAAGAAGAGATAGGCTTTCACATACTCAAAACCACTCTTCAGGCACGATCCAAAGGCAGTTAAGCTAGCTAGAGACCAGGTGAGGATGAAGCTTCGTAAATTAGTCATACTTGAAGCCTTCCCCCAAGATATCCTGTACTGAATCAACTAACACCTTGAATATTATTGCAGTCATACTGACCTACTGCTACACATTAATGATTTAGTAACATAAAACTGGGGAGTGCTGGTACTGAAAGAACACTAACAGACCCTGGGTAGAAACACGTCCTTTGTACTGCTTACCATTAGGAAGCCATATTTAATTGCCAGAGTTACATTAATAGCAAAATTAAAATTCTATTTTCAATGTCAAAACTAAGAGGATAATGTCACCGGATGACTTACGGGGCAATCTGCAAAAGATTAAGAGACAACATCTTATGCTTTGTATTTACAATCAGACTGACTATGAATTCATTTTATGAGTTGTTGTAGGGTGTATTTATAAGGTGAAATTAAGGTATCATTTACCTTAATACTGACTGACTGAAGTGAGGGACTACAGGAAGAAAAAAAAAACACTTCTGGAGAATAAAGCAAATAGTGTCCTTCTGAAAGTCACATACTTTTTTTTCTGCATAGGTTAGAACTTTTATCATAACGGATCGTAAACTGTAAAGTAGTTCTTGTGTCTATCAGAAAATTCTATTTTATGTGTGAATTTCATGTCTTACACATGAGCACAGATAGAACTCTTCTACTGCATTATTGGAGACTTATCAAAAAACAGGATGCTTTTTTCTTGCAAAGATGAAAAGTACAGAGATAAGCAGGAAAATAAAGACTGAAGTTTAACCAATAATATTTTTGTGTGGTTATCAGAGGAATGTAATAATTAATCTTTTAATCATTCTGAAGATTGTGTGAAATCATAATATCTCATCTTTTCCAGCCTCAACCTGCCATTCTTAATCTGAATTACAAACAATAAGAAAGGAGATGATTTAATGAGCAACTTTGTCATGTTGCCATTTTGCCTTAGTCAAAGGCAAATGTCTAGTTTTGCCTCTAAACTAAAATGGAATAGACTTGAACTATGCTTACAACTGAGGCAAACATGAACAGAAAAGTTAGGGCTATTTTAAAGCTAGAACCCCGGTGTCTTCACGTTTTCATAGAGACATAACTAAATACACACTGTTAAGAAGAAACAAACATCCATTTACTAGAAAATAAAACCCATTTTGTGAAGAAACACACATGTATGAAAAGAAGTCTAACATTTGACAAATACTAAAGCAAACCCATAAAGAAAGATTTCACTCACAATGGTAACAGGTATGTTCTTATTATGAAGGAAATAAAATGTCAGCATGATTTAATCATAATAAATAGGCACTTCAATAAAGTATACATTTACAATGGCTTTCTGAATACTAGGGCATCACAAAGTAGTATGGCTTTATTACAATGGATGGAAGATGGCAACTACTTAGAACCCAGTGCCAACATGGATTATAACAAATCCAGTGAGTATTTTGTTTTTCAATTATTCATAGAAAATTTAATCCTGATTAAGTATCCTTGGGCAGGAATTCATGGGTAGTTGATGACTGAAACCAACATTTATTTGAAATGCTTCTGTTAATTTAATCTGTGTATATGGCTTAATTATGATTGAATCCTCAATGTAACAGAAATGAATTATATCAGGATTAAAATTCTAGTACCACATCACCCATTCTATTTTCTCTGCCTTTTTTTTTATTTAAAAGATGCAAGCCTGCTGTTTTAAGTATCTTCATGTTGCTATGCCTTCTAAGTGTCAAATACTGTTTAGACCTTCATTACTGGGTTAAATTTGTAGTTACATTTATTAAAAAAAAAAAAAAGAAAAAAAAAAGGCAGATAAACCCTATTTTCCTTCCCCTTAAAATTTTAACCAGTATGAATACTAGTTGCAAAAGTGTCTTTTCTTTTACACCAATAATAACGCAAAGTTTCTCACAGGCAGTTGGGAACGTTTTACATGTGCTTTGTAGAGGACTCCCCTTCTTTTGTTTGCCCTTCTTTTATACTTATATATAAAATACATTTTCTCTAAAGCATGAAAATAAAGGAACTTTTACTCATCATTACACATCACACCAGTTTCACAACTGGCCAATTTCAGACTTTTTTGAGCCTGTATGTTTTAAGAACTGCATTTTGTAAGACATTCAAACCTTGTATTGATACAAAACAAGGACTTTTTTTTGTGTCTTTGAATGAGAGAGAAAAGATTCATTGTACTTCTCCGTGATACAGCTCAACACCACACGCTGCATATAATATTTATGGAATTATTCAAATTATGGATTTTTCTACTCCACAATACTTTCAACAGATCAATCTAGGGAACTTGTCAGACCAAAGGTCTGTGAAGTGCTCTTATATTATTACTCTTTTCCAGTGAAACCAATCTATGACACACCTGTGACAAAAATACCTGTATATTTAAGTCATTATTGCACATTTATTACAGAAGGTACTCTTCCTAAACATCTCAGAAGTGATGTCGATTTTTATGTCCAGAGGATACTGTTAGTGGCAATGTCACTGATGACAGTGAAGATACTTCCCAATATAGACTATGAGATAGAAAAAGTCTGTAGAGGATAACCATGGAGATGCATTGACAGAGGATAACACCCATGGTAATAATCTAGACAAAAGAAAAAAAAAAAAAGTGAAAAAAAAACCCCAACCAAAACCCAACCAAACCCCAACCCAACCTCCACCAAATAACCCACAATAAATTTCTACAGCATACTGTGTAAGTACTTGAGGTCTAACTTTAAACCTTTTAATACTGCTGCACTTACATAGATTTGAACATGAGTCTCAAGTCCAGGATTCAGACTCTCACACCTGGGTGTTTTTAACTTGGTAGGTAGCCCTTGGCAAGTCACATAAGCCTTCTGGCAGTCTCTGTTCTGGGGAATTTCAGACTTGCAATTCACCACCCATGCAGTTTCACAAGCAGAGGTGATGTTTAGATATTCTATTCTTACAACAAACAGAGTTGGGGAGGGGGAGGGAGGAAAAGCCTATAAACACTTTGCACTAACACGGTCACGGAGCTGTGAGGATAGTGATTTATAAGTCTCACTTAGCCAGACCTTTTTTCAGTGTGAATCTCTTCAGGTGTAAAAGATATCTAAGGTGGTATTTATCAAACATATAAAGGTAACTATTGTTTCTGAGAAAGCAGAAGTCTAAGTTTATGTATACAAGACTCTATTAAAATACATGTTTTCCTTACGTAAACATGATATTTACTGATTATATTGAAGTGCATTTAAAGAAGGAAATACAGCTAAATTATCATAGTTCACGTAGGAACTGCAGCTGCACACAATGGTTAAACTTGCTTAAACGCAAGACCGGAGAAATTGCACTCTCTCTTCAGCAAGCTTAAAATCTCAAAACTGCAAAAGTTTCCTTTACTGATCTCTCATGTTCTGTTGCGCTGATGATAACTTAATCAAACAAAAATTAAAAGGCTTATTAGTAGCTTTAGAGGAGCCTTTTTCTCCTTCAATATATATATATTTTAATGAAACAAAGTATTTAATTTACTATATATTTTCAGTGGAACCTTTTTCTTTCCCTTACATATCCTCTATACAAACAAAAGCTCAATTTCTGAACATATCTGCATACAAATGCACAGATGGTTATAACCATAAAGAAAAGAAGCAAACTCTACTCTGGAATGAAGCAGTCAATCACCTGAGAATAGTAGTGCTTTTTATCTGAACGTGGCAGGCTCCACGCACTAGTTCTCTAACTCCCAATATGTTTAAGCAACCAAGAAACCCAGCAAGTCCACCTTTATTTTTAACTGTTTAGCGCTTAACCAAACTACACAGTTGGACAGATTTCTTAATCTAAAGAATACAGTTCAGCTACAGGTTCCCTGACCTATTTAGCCACATAAAGTTTTTAAAGGATGAAGACTAAAAAGCAAACAACAGAAAAAAATCCACTGATTTATCTTTCTACTAGCTTTGTTAAAAGAAACCCCAAGGTGTTTTTAATTAAAAATAAACAAGCAAACAATAAAACAAAACACCCCTCCACATTTTCCTTTGACTTAACAATCTCCCCCCTCTCCCTCCCTTAACCTAGAAATTACTACTCTTAGATGATTCAAACCCTGTATGCCTTTGTAAAATATGACTCACATTAGCATCAATGAGAGCTGTGTGACTAAGACTTTTCAAGTTGCTTTGGGGTCATAAGATTAACCGCCTAAGAGCATGAGTTTGCTAACAAACACCAAACATGAAGAACAACTACTATTCAAATTCCATCTCTTTTATCTTGCCTGTACATACCTTTTCTCTTTGATATTCTCTGAATATTACAGCAATGGTTGCAAGACATGGGTGGCACAAAAACCAGAGAATGCAGGCCTGAAAGAGAAGATGAGTTTAAGTTATAAAATGACTACATGCCAGCTTAGAAGAAAGAAATGACAGTTAGAGGAACTGCATTTACATTTCTGTCTATTTTATGAACCCATTGTTTAATTTTCAATCAACAGAACAAAAACCACACAATGAAAGGTGGGATTTCTGTTTAAAAAAGCTCTCTACTCCTTGTCAAATTAAAACGACTACTCAGAGTTTGATGACAGAGTGCAATTTAATCAAATCAGACACTTAAACATTAACTTTCTTATGGAAGAAGAGAGTTTAGTGCTTCCATCAACTGCATGCCACAATTATATTTACAGCAGAAAGGATCAGTTTCCCTGATGCAACCCATACTTTGGCAAAGGTGATATAGAACTCCCTTTTCAGCGTGCTTCTCTCCACTGTGATGATCTGGTAAAGACCAGCAGCCAGTGATAAAGCTAGGCAAACTCTGAGGCCAATAAGCAGACCGCTTACTAAGCCATGGTGTGAATGGTAGCTGTGGTGATTCGTATCTTCAAACTGCTCCCAGATTAGTAAAAAGCTCTGGAAAAGAACAGCAGCAAAGCACATTTAGAGTAAACAACGTTACACTAAACCTCAATTCATCTTCCCACCACAGATTAAGTTATTCGCACAACTAGTCCCTTGCCTGAACTGCTTTTAGTTTGTCACTTCTCTATTATTACTCCAAGTGCAACTGGCAGGAACAGTCTAACTTCCTGAAATTTGTAACTTCCTAAAAGTTTGACAAGATAAAGTTTCCTTTAATTTGGACAGAAGGAATGTGGCACCTTAGCATAAGATCCCAAATAATCTAGTTAAACATAACCTAGTTAAAAATAATCTAGTGAAGGAGTAGGCCTACCCAGCAGGAAGCCCACTGAAATGATTCCACAGGGCTACAGGGAGGTGTCTCCTTCCACTTCAGATCCACAACCTGTAAAGCTTGTTTCAAAGGCAGGCGACTACGCCTTTTCTTTCAAAATCCTAACAGGATTCACTTTTCTTTTCAAAGATGGGGAAGTAAGAGGGTGGTGCTGCTGCCCCTTTTATACAATAGCCTAAAGGCTCAAGCATTCACCCAGGTTGAACTTGGATCTCCCACAATTCCCTTCTTTGCCTAAAGGATATCCAGCTCACATCTCCCACCTTCTTGGAGAGTGCCGCAACTGCCAGGCTATAGGCTGTTCTTGGGTGGGCCACTCTCCACCCCTTCTATTGAAGCTGTGCCATTGTGGAGAAAAGAATTCAACATCAGCTAGGTCAGAAAGGTGAGTGAGCCTGACTCTGCAAGCCAGCAGCTCAGAAACCTCTGAGGGTCCAGGATAGGGAGCAGCACAGGTTCCAAATACTGTTCCAACATCTGGACAAATGCTCTAGCCAACAGGTAACTACAGAAAAGAAAGTAATCCTTTTAACTTTCAGCACTGCATCCATCTGCTGCAGAACTCGATTTTGTAGGAGCACTGTGAGAAAGAAAATTGATAGATCCTCTAATGAAAACCAGACTAAGAAGTGCCTAAGCTTATGAATCTTAGTTGGGTAGGAGGCAGGCGCCTACTTGCTGCATAAAAAATGGGTTTTGCTGAAGAATACCTTTTTAAGACTTTGGGAATGTTAACGTTATAAATTAGAATACCCATAAAGTTTAGATTCTCCCAGCATCATGTAGCAGCTGAATGGCGTTTTACGACTTGAATATACACTGGAATCCAGTCTACTTACTACACACATCTAACCTGCACTTAGGTTTCAGGTGCCTAATGAAGCAGGCTTTCTGAAGAAGGGTAGGCAAATTCAATTTATGAGTGAGGTAGCTCTGAAGGCCTTCAGAAGCAGACACTGTGTGCCTCAATTTAGAAAACTAAATTAGTCAAATTCCTTCCTGAACACATTCAAAGGTGCTCTCGCTATATTAACTACATAAAGACAAAAAGTTTACTGATATTAACTTAAAAAAATAAAAAATAATAATAAAAAAAATCCACCTGTGCCTTCCAGAGGTGGGTGGCCTTGGGCCTCATCAGTCAAAACAGGATCATTTTTGCTTAGGCTATCCTCAGAGAGTACTCTCACACTTTTCCCTTCCCTTACCTAGGCCATGACATGGGCAAGCATGACTGCTGTCATTTCAGTCATTCCTCAACCACCTGGATGGAAAATGAAAGGATGGGAGAAGGACAGACATGAAGCATGCATGTCTTGAACATCACTGATCACTAGTAAACAATCTGACCAAGAGGCTTCAAATGTCCCCACCATAGCTCTCTATTTCAGAAGCAAACATCTTCAAATGATCACATTACTTGACTGAGAAATCTGTCAGGGGGTAAAACTGAAGTAAGACTAAATGGCTCCTGAAACCCCGAAATACAGTGTAGTGTTTGGTAAAATTGTGTCTGCAATACAAAATTGATGTATTCCTGTCACAGAATTTATTTCAGTCCGGGTAGGATAGGCTTAGGCAACAAGAGTTCTATCGGTTACACAAAAGAACTTTGTAAGCTGTGTTACACTGCACTCTTGTACAGAGCATTTTCCCTTTTGATGTTTACACTTCCCTGGACTGGACACACATAGTCTGAGAAAATAAAGAGCAGAGCTCATGAGGGCTTGAATTTTCCTTAACCTACACCAATAGTAACAACAATGAGGGAAGCCACTTTCATGAGAAGATGACAAAGAGCTGGAGTAAAGGAATCATGAGAACAAAGTCCAAATCCTCATGGGAAAATAGTGTCTGACGGCAGGGTATGCTCTGGACTAGCTGTTTAAAGACTGTAAGCTGTGTAAACAACACAGGAATCAGTTGATCAAAGACTGTGTATAGTAACAGCAATGTAAGATCACAGAAATACAGCTTCCTTCAGTTTCATTAGATTATTCCAAAATAAGCAGAAGGCAGAGACATTAGAGGCAGAGACAGAACCATCCATGCAAGACACTAGAAACTCAGACAATGTGAACATGTGTCACTGCTCTTACTATAAGCTGGGATGGAAGAGGGGGATCCTATAAAAGAGAATTCTTTGCTATGAAGTGATCGTAAGTTACAATGGATTAAGCAATCTGTTCTCAATGAAGGAAGAACTTTCACAGCCAAGCATGACCTCTTTAATTTGCTATGCCTGAGAAACTAAGGTCAGTAAGTCCTGAAGTCTCTTATCTTGATCACAGAAAGGCATGTATCACCTCACTTAGCTGCAATATGAGGAACAAGCTTAAAAAACACCCACACAGCAACCTGCTGAAGTGGCTATCAGGGACATTTTATTTTGTTGGCAATGAGCAGAACTACGTCTGAGCTCTGAGAAGAAATCAAGGGGGGAATTCTAATTGTTATCCCGAAGAACAATTCTGCTTAGGCTGTAGACAAAAGAACTGGATGCACTAGGCAGCTAAAGAGCTGACTCACACTAGCTATGTCCAGCCTTAAAGTCACAACTGCTTCTTTGTAAAGGAGAATGACCATGTCCTTATTTACATAACACACTGTTCAAAATGCCTGACTTCACCTGCACATACTCCTGACCTATGTTGGTTCCCAGTGGACACCAACCACTGGCCAGCATTGGTCTTCCTCTTCAAATGCTAGAAGAATGTTTGCCACAGACATCATCATGATGCTCCAGAAATACAAGCTGAACCTCACATTCATACAGTGAAGAACCAGACACTCTTCCTTTTTTTCATGAGTAAACCATTATGGTAGAACTCCTTGCCTTCGCTATGCTGACACTGACTTTATGGCAAACCAAGATAACATACCAATCTCCATTAAAGGGAGGTTCTCATGAGGCAGATCAGTTTTGAGACACAAGAAGAAGGGGGAAGCAAAAGGGAAATCAAAAGTAGCAGCAAGGCAAAGTGGATTAACTACCTGCTTCTAACCATATCTAGTCCTTGGGTATCTGATGTCATGCAATACCAGTACAGCAAATTGGTTGAGATGTAAGGTCAGAGGTAGAGCTCATTCTGATCACACCTTTGGTGTGTACCTAAGAACCCCTGTGAAGTGTGATGTCTAATGCAGCAAGAATCTATGTCATTTTGGTCAGGTACAAAGTGATCAGCTGTCTTCCCAGAATCACTGCCCCCACTCCAATTGGCCCTGAAAACTGAAACTGCTCATCACACATCCCATCAGGTCTATGTGATGGGAAAGGACTGCCACCAAGAAAGTTCTGAACAAGACTGGTGTCTCAGCAGCAGAGGGTGGAATCTTTCATGAATACAGAGCAGTCGGGGAACCTTTTGTTTGAGGCTGAAATAAAGAACAAGTTAAGGCAAAGGGAGATGATGAATGGCAGACTTGTCCTCTTTTGCAGCTGCAAAGACCACAAGAGATTTGCTGACACCACCTGTAGAAGTGGAATCCTCCACACCTCCACAGTGTAGGCTGTGTCCACCCTACACTGACGGTAACCTGTAAACACAGCTTGGGAAATTGCTATTGTTTCTAAAAGAACAAAAAGAAAGAATCCACAGCATTGGTACAAAGAGGATGAAAAAAACCTTGAAAATTTGCTGAGTAATTGAATCTAGTAGCAAGCAAACAGGGTCAGATAGTTTGCCAGTCAAAATGCAGTAAAGCTGAAGAATAACATATTTTCCCAGACTGTCCACTTGCTTGAGATGAGGACAGGCAGTGAATGGCAATAAAATACGATTCAGTCTTCACCTGCTGTATTAGGGTAATATATGTGGTTTCCAACACCCTCCACTACAAGTCCTCAGAACATCTTTGATCATCCATGTAAGTCTGTCCAAGCTCTGGCAGGGGAGCAAACTGGAAATTCCAGGAAAGAGCAGGATAGAAAGGAGACCATTCTAGATTTTAGTCATTAGAAGTGCTATAGCAGATCCAACACCCACATCAACCTAGACAGACCAGTGAACAACAAAATAATCCAGAGAATGAAGTCATGAGCTCACAATCTTTGATAGGGGCAATGTGGTCTGGAACCTGCACCCTTGCACTCAACAGCAGCATCCTGTATTAAGGAGAAGAAATGCAGCAGAAGGTGTATTTTGTATGTATTTTGTATATATGTACTGAACCATGCGATGAAGAGTATCTTCTCCAGAAGCGGCAAGGATACTCTTGGTGCCAGTGAACTTTTGCTGCAGACAGCAGACACTGAGATGGGTGTGCAAAACCACCCAGACAATGACATACTCCAATATCCATATTCTGTTCCTACAAGACTCCTTCCAAGCCTGACATTCCCACCAGTACCAGGAGATGGGGTAGAGCTGTGGCTTTGTGGAGAAAAGTAAAATAGCCAATGCTCCTGCAGTGCTCAAAAAGCCAACACAAATGTGTAATGGATCAACACTGGGGGAAGCAGCACAGACATATGATACCTTCCCCCATTTTTACCACAAGTAACAATTAAAAAAAAAAGATCAAGCTGATGATACTGTGTCCTTTCCATGTACAGTTAAAAAAGAAACAACAACAAAAAAACTTTTCAGTCTCAAGCGACAAACTACTAACACACCCATGTATGTACAACTGGAGAGACATGAATAAAATACACGTCAGAAGTCTTCTTTACTACCAGCATGTAAAATTTCTGGTGCTAGACGGGTGTCAAAGTAAGGTGGAATGAACCTACCTTTAAAATTCAACAGTCCCACTGACCTTAATAGCCTTTGGTTTATATTCCTAATTAGCAAGAAACATCAGCTCCCAGCTACTCTTAATGTTTTAGCAGTCCACTTATTTAGTTTGGAAGCAGCACTAATTACAGATACTACTCAAATAGCACAAAATCTTCAGTATAATCTCTTCCTCATTACTGTCTCCAGCTTCTCCCTGCTCCTCTTTCTCAATGGGTTTCAGATTCTCTTGCCTTTATGCTGCGATTTAAAAAAATTTGTTTACAAAAGGCACCACGAGGGTTGAAAGATTTCCATTACAATTTACTTTTAAGTTAACTGGTTTACTTGACTTTCTAATTCATACTAATGGAAAATATTTGAATGAAATTATGTGTCAGACCATTTGTATATTTGCAAGACCAATCATGCACATGAACCTTTCCAGAATTCCCTGATATTGACTGCAAAGACCATTAAACATCCTAGGTGAGTGGTTCTAAGAGATGGGCACTGAGGATTTCAAATTTTTTTGTGACAGAATTTCTGACAGCAGCTTTTTTCATTTTTCCTCTCATGCTGCTTGTTGTTACCTTGCACAATGTAGTTCACAACCCCTCAGTTGCACAGATTACAACTATTTATAGGATCACATTATAAACCAGCAAAATTACTGTGCTGAAATCATTCTCTCTCTCTCACCCTTTTTTGTGTGTGTGCAAATCTAGATCATTCCACTGATCTGGTTTACAGCATAATGCTAAAAACAACTGGCACAACTAGAAGCTTGAAAAACTGTGGGAACTTCTTAAGTGGTTTTACTACTGAACAAAAACATACTGTGGAGCTACACCTTAAATTGTTCAAGTAAATAGAAGGTGTTGTTACCTATTAGACATACTGGGTGCACATTATGCTGTGGGTTTTTTTCCAGTCTTGATACTCTCTCCCTCATAAAATATTGAAATTATTTGGTTCTTGGTTCTGTCATACTTAATAGCAGCTGTATATTTCAATATAAGAATGAATATAAAACACAAACCTGTGTAACGACAACTACTACAGCAATGCCAGTAGATGTTGGAGTGGAATCCCACTGAAGAGGTCTGCCATGAGATTTCTTCATTCTGCCTATTGTCCAACCCATACACAGACTCAACAATAAATACAGCATTTGTATCTGTGAGACTATGTCACACACTATTGAAAACAAAAGAAAAATAGTCACAACAAAAATAAAGTTCTTTTCTAAAGCAAAAAGAATGTTTTATATACCCACGAACGAAGGATGGACATTTATGCCTCTCTATCACCTTTAGTCGTAATTTTGACGGTAGTCTGACTAGATGAGATTGTTTTCCCACAAAATGTGGATATTTTGAGTACTTTTCAGTGACAAAACAGACCACTATCAGCTTTTGTCTAGTTATGCTGCAGTTCTGCAACAACACACACACATCCTTCCACGTCCCACTCTTGGGTCAAAGACTTCTGGGCTCAGGAGTCCGTCTGCATAAATATACTTATAAATGCTAAAGAACTAAAATCATATGTATGCTAATCACACTGCAAATATAAAACATGATGAAATTAGCTCCTTTTTTTGCTCTGAAAACCTTTTGTTCAAAAGTCAGATAGTTGCACTGTACTTTAAAGTAATTGCACTGTATATTAAGGATGCAGTAGCTTGCATCAGAAAGCACAAATATTCAGGACAAATTCCACTGTGAGATACTTAAAGGGGAAAATATAATGAATAGCCCTAACACAAAGTTCATTTGGGCCTGTATTTCACCTTATTAAATGCAAACTACCTTTGCTTCATTTTGCTATGTCCATTTTTTCCCTTTGTTTGGGAACAATTAACACATACACCATGAAGTTACATTCTTAATCAGCGTCTCAAACCTGTGTTTGAAGCTCTATCTGAATACAGAAAACCAAGCTAGAATATATTAAAAGTCTTTACTTGTTAGCCTTGCTGAAGTACTCCTAATGGTAGAAAGAACTGAAGATTCTTTCTAGGTGGTTGTTAGCTTTAGACCTGATCAGCTGGGCTGTATTATTAAAGATTAATGCACTTTGACATTTACTAAAAATACTGGAACAGAAAATATTGTCCCTGTACAGAGAGTATTATGCACACAAGGGAAGTATGTTGAATGAAGATCAGCTATAGTATTTCTCTGACAGCAAACACTAGCAAAATATGAATATAAACAGAATTCAGTATGTTATTCCTGGGATATATTGGGTATTCTCACAGTCTGTATGCTTAAATGTTTAAAAATTGTTACGTGAACCAAAGGCATGCCAAACCAGTGTCCCAAATCCAAGCTAGAGAAATGACTGAGCAAATCAGGATGTTCTAGAGAGCATTTTATTTTCTATCACTCCTTAAGATAACTTGCTCTATAAGATATAGCCAGACATCATCTCTCAATCACATCTTGGATACAGATATTGCTCAGCTTCAGTGTGGCAACAATTCAAGTGGATTCCCAGGCAAAATGGTATAAGACAAAAATTCAGCACCAGCTTTAATCTTTGACATCTCATACACCTTGTCAGAAAGTGAGAAGGTCGAAAGAAATTTCTAAAGTTACAATAATCCTCCAGTATCCAGGGTCAGTGTAAAGTCACATGCTACTGAACTGACACCATAGTTATCTGATTTCATCACAATTCATCTTTTTTGCCTATTCAACAGGCATAATAATATTGACTTTCGCATTTCAATCTTACAAAAAAGTAACAGCATTATTTATGATGCTTTTGAGTATTAGCATTACTTGTGTGATTTACACAATTAACTTGAGTGATAAATTAGACCGAGGGTCAGGTCTTTATATATGGTAAAGACTAAGTGATGGTATGAAAATAATAATTGTTTAGGACAGTATCCGAACATGTTTCTAGAAAGCAATTCTGGCACCACTGCAGTGAACAGAAATTCTACCATTTATTTTTAACTTGGATTTCTGTTCTGATATAGGAAAAATGGCAGCACCTTCCACTTTCAAACTACACTTCTTCCTAACAGACATACCTAGAATTGTAATTGACACTGAAGATTTCCACATTTCTATTACTTCACCTCTTCTACTTGTTCAGGAACCATAAACCTTAAAACCAGCAAGGACATCTGAATTTCAGCTTATTGATTAAAAAAAAATAAAATTTATTCTTAATAAACTTTGCCTTAAGCAAGTAAAAGTTGGCTCTTCACTGCAACACTCAGAGAAAATCTAACGTGCAGCTACTCTTTCTGAAGTTCTGGCTGGGTAGTTAATATTGGTTTTCTCACTGTGGAGGAGTTATGACTACCTCCATATTCTTGCTTTAATTTAATTTCAGGAGAAAAGAAGGAAAGGTTAATGCAAGGAGCTGCTAACTCAAAATGTTAAAACAAGAAAGAGGAAATTACTGTGGTGCCAAGTGCCATCAAGAGGCCGTTAATTCCAACTGCAAGCTTCTAAATGAACTAAGGGAAATATTTTTCTGTTTAGGCTGTTAACTCTCCAATGCTATCACATGACCACAGTACTACTTTCTTGAGGTTTTTCAAGCCAATCAAAAGTCTTAGAAAGACCCCCCCGTGCTTCAAAGGTGAAGTACAGAAAAAAAAACCCTGAACAACCCCCACCCCAACAGCCCCAACAGCATTTAACCCTGAAGAACACAGCAGGAGTAAATTAGTGCATTTGGGGAAGGGATGTTATAGGAATTAAGCTCCAATGATAACTCAGAATATTTATACAGAGTAGAAAAAAAATATTTTGTTAACATAATGCTTTATATAAGCATTTTTTGCATCATAGGAGTCATATCATTTGTGTTGCAAAAGACTGATGTTTTTTGTTATGACCAATGTTAAATTTGCTAGTGAAATGACACACATCCCATAAAATGTGATTAGGTTTCCTAAAAAACTTCACTATTCTAGCTCATGCAAACTCCATAAAACCCTTTAAGGTACCAAAACATTTACTTATGTGATAGGCACCTATTTCAATGTTTGTAGGAAGGAATCTCCAGACAAGAAAATACTTTAAAAAATCCTAAACAATATCAGAATTGTGTAACTTTAAATGCAGTTACTGTAAACAGAATGAAATCTGTTTTTCAGAAGAGTAACTTTAGTATTTCCAAATTAAATCTAAAAATTTAATTAAAGAATCTAGTGATACTGTACAGTCCAACAATGGCATTTGCTAATGTATTATACAGATTAATGTGTAGAAGTAGACAACCATACTCACATTCTGACAAACTTCCCATAAAAGGTACTCCTATTCCATCTTTAGAATAACTGATGAAAGAATAAAAAGAGTATATTTTTAGGTGAGTCTTACGTGCATGCCCTCTCTTAAAAGTACAGTTAGGCAACAATGTAGTTCTAAAAATTCAGTCCTATGTTTTGTTACAACTGACACAAAAGAGATCATGTACTCATCTTTACAACACAATGTTCTTGAAGTCTCAAGACCTGAAAGTAAAAATAAACAAAGATACCTTGAGAAATGCAGGTAGTTGGCAAGAGCTGAACCAGCCTGCAACAGTAATGCAACTGTCAACACCCTTAGTACAGTATGCATAGGTCCACGCTTCTTAAGTGTTTGCCATAGGGACTGTGCATATATGCAAGCAGTTACGAAGTATGCTAGGACAAGCAGGAAAAAGAACTCATGCAACCCTGTGGGGAAAGAGGAAAAAAAAAAAAGAAAAGAATAAATATGGGTTAGTTTTTGTAAAGAAACGTTGCTACTAGCAGTAAATAACTAAAACTATCTTGGGTATTTTTATAAAATCACGGTGAAATTACATAGTAACTGTCACCTAAAAGTGACAGTACACATAAAATAAGTAAATCCTAGCCTACTTTATCCAAGAAAGTCAATGAATTTTTTCAAAGAGCTATTATTTGATCTGATAAAGTATTTTGTATTCAACAAAAGCTTTGAGTGTAGGAGAGATTCTGTTCAAATAGGAAGAGGTTCGCAGCAATTACTGAAATAGTATGAAGTGGCATACAGCTTCTTGATAAACAGAAAATAAATGTAGCTCATTTGATAAGTCAGAAACATATTTATTAAAGGACTCACTTTTAGCTCTTTCCCCTGCCCCCCTTCAATTTTTAAAGGCATAATCTGAGATGAGAGAAAACCAGAAAAGACTTCTGTTGAATCTATTTAACCACTGGGTGTCACTCTTCCTCCACAGAAAATAGTAAGTCCAAGGAGCACGGTTGACCAAGGCGAAAAATTTTTAGATTAAAGAAAAATGGGACAAAAAATAGCACACTGAGTAAGTTCACAGAATGTTTTTTTTTTCAATTTGAAAAAATGCCCAAAGTTTTTGATATTATTTATAAATCAGAAATCCTCTAATGTTTAGTCTAGAAGTAGTCCAGTAAAATGCTTCCCTGAAGACCTGCATCCTGGCAATCTTTTTTGTTGACTGGAAGCTTTGGAACCCATAATATGAGCTCTCGAAGGGTCAAAACGAGCGAGTGACAAGCAAACATGGGTAAACAGATGTTTCTCACAGAAAATTTGTTTTCCTTCTCCAACCTTCCTTGAAACCAAGTACTGCCCATAAAAATCAGATTCTGAGCAGCATTTTTCCTTCAGCAAGAAAATAACTCTGCAAATAACTTTCAACCAGCTCCACAAACAGATTAGAAACAGTGCAATCATCCACATTTCAATATCTAAGTTGAAAAACATCAGAACTGGGTGAGTTCTGAATAGCTGCTAGTACTGTAACTTCTATGGCTAAACTGAATTATTTTTGACATGCTTATAGTGAAATGAGAGAATAAAAAGCGTAAGGTAGTAAAGATTCCTAAAAACAACAACAAAAAAATATTCTGCTTCTCTTGCATACCTACCCAAAAGCATGATTTATGAATGACAAAATATGCACTTCAGATCAAATCTGCTATTCTTTCTTTTACTTTTTATCTTTCTGCTTCAAAAAACACCCACTGACATTGGCAGGGATTCTGTAGATAAGTTATTTCTCACTATGATGAATGGGTACACATGGAAAACTCTTTAGGAAAATGAACTAGCTTTTAATAAACATTTACGATAGAAAGCTCCTTCCAATCAAAGACAGATTGTGGATGATTGGCACATGATTGAGGATTTAGAGAAAGTTGCACTGAAATACAACTATGAAGAACACAGAAAGGTGATTTTCAACCTGTCTTTAAGTTTCCTGACTTTCAAGGAACCTAGAGTTGACAGAGAAAATAAAACTTATGTACCTTAATCTGAAACACCTAACTTCATCTTCAAAATGCTGTCTACCTCGTCAACTTCCCTTAGAAATCCTAGCTTCCACTGGTGTCATGTCTTATGTAAAAAACCCACTACCATGTAAAATGGTAGAAGATTACTTGCCAGGCTTCCTCTCTCTCAAGGCAAACATCTCACTACGTTACAGTCTCAAATACTTTCCTATACTTTCCTTATAGTCCATTTAATTTTGAGATCTCCTGTGTCAAGCCACACATCTTCAGTGGAACATGACCTAACTAGACCCATCCGTAACTATGCAATTTTTAGCTGCCTGAATGAAAGAACCACGAAATAAAGCTGGATCTTCTCTCTGATACCCTAATGTCCTAAGCTGCACACCTTTCTGGAAAACTGACAATTACTATTCCCCAGAAACGCATTAAAGAAAAACAAGACCAAACTAAACCCCAAAACAAAAAAAAAAAACCAAACCCCAACAACAACCCCCCCCAAAAAACCCCCAAACAAACAAAAAAACCCCAAAGAAACATCCCCCCCCAAAAAAAACCCCAAACAAAAAACCCAAACAAACCAAACATGAAAAGAGAGAGCAAAGGAGACATTAAATTCTCTTCAGTTCTTTGTAAATAGACACAAGCATATAACCTCAGGATTTATGGCCCCGATGCAAGTTTTAACTCTGAATAAACAGAGGTGTTCCTCTGCAACTGTGGAAGAAATGTCGTGTACAGCTCATCCCGTTTCCTACTCGTTATATCTAAACATTTGTATCTAATGCATTTACTCAGTGGGCAAGCTGTTCAGAGTTCTGCTACAAAGAGCTCAAAATCTGCGTATATAATCAATACAGAGCTGAGATACCTCTCTGGGATGTCTGTACACCACTTCTAGTAGCCACACAACGTCTTATAGCTGCTCTGCCTCTTGATTTAGCAAAAGAATACTACTATTGTTTTTTGAGAATTAGTAAATTAACCTTATCAGTTCTGGATATGGATTCACCAAATAAAACCTGCCAACTAAGTCTGCAAATTAAGAAGCACAGTTAAGAAATTAAAGAGACAGGCCAGTCAATTTATAAGCCTTGAAAAATGAATGATTAACAGTGCTAATTTCTTACAGATTCTGCTAAATGTTTCAGGGAATATTTTCTTCCCTCCAGAAAGGGAGCTGCCTTTGACCACGAATAAGAGGAAGGCATATGATTTTAAGCATAGCAATCATGCTCATTCTGGGTATGCAGGCTAAATCTGCATATGAGGGCAGACTAAACATACGGGAGTCTTCCCTTACAACAGACCTAGGTTAGTGACAGGTTGATGAGGCCTCCCAGAGCGCTGTAACTAAGCGCTGTAGAGAAGCAGACACTAGGTTGCTTCAGATAATCCAAACCATACAATTTTATAGGCATTTCTCTCACTGCTGTCTTGAACCACTTCTAAGAAGTTTTTCCTTGCATGTGTAAGGATTAAAAATTGCATTTTTTAAATAAAATAAATTCTGGACTGACAAATACTAAATCTGCAGGTCTGTGACAAAGATACTTCAAGACCTGAACACTGAACTGGCAAAATTTTTTATTGTGCATGTGTTCATGTTGCACAGAATAAAACTTTACACAGCTAATGCATTTAATGAGTTCAATAAAAATCAAAGATTAAATTCACATTCAAGTGGAAATTTACAATTTCAACATAGGAAAAATATCTGTCAACGAAGATAGCTAACACTAACTTTCCTTGTGCATCTGTTCTTCCAGTTAGGCAAGTTTTGGAAAGTCAGTCTAAAGAGTTTTCTGTAATGCTGGAAAACAAAGTTTACTCTCCATGAGAAAGCAGAATATTAAGAGACTCTACCATCCGTTCCCCATACTTCTGCAAGCACAGTTAAGTACTGATTTGTTTGGGTAATCAAATCCTTAACTTACAAATCTAATTTTAAGAAAAAAAATCTTACCAGATTCCCCTGCGCTAAAGTGATCTAATGGATTGCCTTCTGCATCTGGGTTTAGTAAGACCATTTCAAACTGAATATCCTCGGATTCAGAATAATTCTCCTCGCAGGTAAACTTGTCTACATAAAACACATACCATGTTTCTGGATAAGGAATCTGGGACACTGTCAGATTTTGCTCTGTGTGGTTCACAGTCACTTTGGAAGAAAAACAAAAATAGGATTAAATATTTGATTAGTTTGTTTTTTTTAGAAAAGTCATCTTTGAACAAAGATAAAACTGAAACCCACGTCACGATATACCGGTTATAAACAACAAACAGTACCAAACAGTCTTTGCTTTCAAAGCTAGCCATAACACCAGAGATCAGATTTCCAACTTCATCTTTTATTTCAGATGGGTGGAGACAAGAGTTGGTGAGCATACGTGCTTCATTCCATCTCTCAGCTCTTAGACTCACTGGCAGGGCTCCTTTCTGCCACAAGCCAGTAACTTCAGACTGTGTCTCATACATTTAGCACATTTCCGTCCCCTAGTACAGTACCAACAGGACTAGCTATTCCACAGATACTTCTGCAGTGTGAAAAATACCTTTATGAAATTTATTCTGTTCTGTTTTCAAAGATATTTAGAGCACCAAACAGGAACAGCCATGTATGAGCTCAGTAAACAACAGCATGCACGCATTAAAGGTGCAAATTAGCATATTTTACAGCATCTTCCTAAGACCATAACAAATCAGATTATATTTAAAATCAACTAGGCAAGAGTCTGAAGTTTCATCTGCTCAACAGTCTTACCACTGTTTCTCCTAAAAGCAACTATTAACCAAGCACAGTCTCTCCAAAATAAACTTTTGCTGCAAATGAAATCTGTAGCTATGTATGTCTGGATGAAACTGCAAGAACTGCAAATACTATTACACTGATTACTGAACTCGAGTGCTGATCAGTTCAACCATAAATGAAAGCCATCTCTGTAGAAGAAACAACAATATAATGACTGGACTGTAATTATTTAAGCTTAACAGTTTGAAGATAACAATGGCCAAGGCTGAGGAAAAATTTTCATTTAAAAACTACAAAACAAGCTATTTCTGCTTTTTTTACATAAAGGCCTTTCCAAATGAAAACATATTTACAAAACAACCTTTAGCAAACTCATTATCTCTAAACATTTGGTAGGCAAAATTTAGAACTAATTCCTAACTTGAAGCTTACCTTGAAAAACATTTATGTATTTAAATAAACTTGTTTCAACTTCATTATTTTCTGTTATCTAAAGGTGCAAACTGATCAACATTATGATCCATTAAGAAACGTATATTATACATTTCTTTGTAGCAATTGTCATGAAGTACAAATTCAGACACAAGAATCATATAAAAAAAGAAAACTGTTTTAACACAGGTGATTTTTCTTGTTCAGGTAACGATAAGAATGTATTCCATTCTGGAGCTACATATCTTGTCAATCAGATTATACAAAGTGAACCAGCTCCCTTCAAAACAACCAATATTTTTAAAAACACAGATTTTAGATTTCATATGATGCTTAATTCAAATGAAAGGCAAACTGCAGCTGACAGGGTTAGCTTTACTCTCCACCTCAACCCTCAGCTGAGTTCTGACACACTTATTTGCATCAAGCCTAAAGATCACACAGTGTATTTTACCAGTTCTCCATTAAATCTGCAAGCAAACACACAGGAAATGAAGAAAAAATAAAAATGCAACTCATTTTGCCCAAGATCCACAAACAGATCCAACTCACCCTGTAGTCACATCATTCTTAAACACAGTAGAAAACAGCGATACACCACTGGGACAGACAGGAGTGACGGACCAACTGCTAGTCATTTCAGCAGCACTTCATGTTCAGCTCAGATCAAGAGTAAGGGAGCTACATCCTTAGAAGTGACATCTGTGTTAAGATTTCACTGTGACAGCGTTCCAGGAGATCAATTTGTAACTCTAGGGATTCTGGCCGCACAGAGGAAACGTATTTTTAAAAGAAGCTGTATTCATTTAAGATACATTTGAATGAAGTTTCTAATGCTAATTTAATTCCTTAGAGGGAAATTTATGCTTTAAGTGGGTTTCACAACATTACTACCAATAAGTGGTGAAAAAATTATTTCAGTATGTTTATCTTCCAGATACATAACTGGATGCTTCAGTTTTTTACTGTTCTTTTACATTTAGATGGATACTCAAGTTAAGCTTTATCTGATTAGCTTCTCTTTGCTACTGTATTAAAAATTTTCTAACATGTTTTGTACCTCAAAGCATGACAGGTTTGTGCCTTCATGGAAATGAAAATACAATTTAATTTTTGCTTTCTCATCTTTGAAAAATGCCATTTCCATGGAACTGGGGAACAAGACCCTCCTGACAAATGAGAAATGTTCTTTCATAAACAACAGAGTAACAAGATAACCTACCTATTCTGCACTGGTATAATTCCCAGCTCAAATATTAAAAACATATGAATATGAGATTCAGTGTTGAATACCAAATTTTAAAATTAAAGGGTGAAATAACATTAAATGATAACACAGGCAAGATCTAAAGTAATGCACCAAAACCCAGATTAATTATTGCAGGTAACATTACAGACAGGAAAAAAAAGAACCTCTGGAAAAGTAATGATTATAAGGTTGTAAAAGAAAATCTCTGCAGGTACAAAATTACAGCTTTCTACTGTGTACTTGGGCTACATACTCCCACCTCACAAGCATTCATTTCAGAAGTTTAGAGGTAACTGCAGCAGGCTGCCTCTAATTTTTTTCATTCCACTGCAATAAAACACGAACTGTACATTTGTAGTCGCAACTCAAATTGTACATTTGACTGACCCAAGCATTTAGATTCTCAAGTTCTTCAGTTTCATATTACAGTAGTATTCTTTGAAAATTCTTCCCAATACTCAACATTAGCTTTTTTATGGTAAAGTTTGAGGTAAAAAAAAAACCCAACAAACTTTTATTCCAAGCTAAGTTAAAGAAAATCTCTGTACTGAATGAAGAATGAAACTTCAGCCAAACATGTACCCTTTCTGAGCTGTGCACAAGTGAGAGCATGAGGCTAGAACTGCTCATAAAGTTTGGCTGTTTGAACTGAAGCCATTACTAGTCAAGGATTGTTCATTTTGCAGCAGCAAAATAAATCATAACTTGCAAACGAAGTCTTCTGGAGTGATGCGAACAAAGTAATTTTACTTCCCTGTAATAATTCTTAATTACCGAAGGATGAAGTCGTGCTTTTACTTCAGTTGATGTAAAGTCCAAATTCACTGAAGTAAATATGCATAGGTAACTTCAGAAGGTTCTAAATACATAGAAGATTTAATTAGTAGGGGGAAAAAAGTAACAACTCACTTGTCAGCTGAGCTTTGGAGAACTTCTCTGTACAGCTCTGATCTTCGATGCCATTCTGCAGCTTCTGCCATTCCTGTGCTTGAAACAGGTGAAGTCTAGCTGCTTTTGTCACAGCTACTGCTACGTTCTTGATTCTGACACACAGAACAGCATGGTCACCTTGATTTTTAAAAAATAAAATCAACTAATCTGCTTTGATGTCAGTTACAGACAAAAAACTAGTGTGGCATAGAGGTTTTTTTATCAGTAGCAGCACTAAAGCTTCACTTTATTTCCTAAACTTTTACCACTACTTCCCATAAAATTCTTCAAACTCTTTCAGAAAACAATTTGTATATATCTCTAACACAATACTGCATGCACAATTTAACGTGATGATACTTAAACAAACCTTTGCCCTAACCCAAATGTCATTAGCCTTCTCTACTACAGCCTTCCCTACCCCCCCTTTTTTAATACAGAATTTCAGACATTTTATTTATTTCCACCCCAATTTTTATTTTCCCAAGTTAAGTAAAGACAGTGTCTCAAGCAGTTTCAATAACTGGTTCAAAGTCTAGTGCTTTATGACCTCAGTAGCATGATTATGAGCATCATAAAATAGCTCTTGAATCTAATACCAGAAGAAGTTATGTAAATTGGCCTTCATATTAAGGGGTGATTAGAGCTAAAATACTTAATTGTAGATGACAGACATCAAATTGATACAAAGAAAATCAAACTTCAAAAGTGTTCTCTAATGTGTCAGTGTACCTATAGGCTGCATCTTGGCCTAGAAAAATACTTTAACCACTTTAGAATCAGCTTATTTGACACAATTATCTTGTCTGGGTAATTCCACAATCCTCAAACTTACTTTGATAAATTCTTTCATTATATGCTGCCATATAATTCTTTAATGTAACAGTGTCCTAAATTAGAAGAGGATTTAATGAAGAAAAAAGAATTAGTACTGCAAGAGCATAAATTTACTGAAATTTCAGCAAGCTTTGTATGTTTTTTAAACCGTTAGAGCAATATTCTCTCCCACCTAACCTAGGCACCAGCTGGATGTGAGTCAATGGACTACTACCAGCTTCAAATAAGGCTTTGCCAGGAGTATCTGCTTGTTCAGAACCAGCTGCAATACAGCAGTTCTGAAATAAAATCTCAAAAAAGGTGGTATTCTGGGATCTGTAAAATGTTATATGGACTACAGTTTATCTAAACTGCTAATAAAAGTTATGAAAACTTAACATAAGGCTCTTAAAAAAAGACCTTGTTGGCTTCACTGAGACTGCAAATACATACAGTTGGAGAATAAATTATATTTGAACACCTAAACCAGTCATCTTGAACCTTAACATTCTTTTCTCAGATTTAAGCAATGTTCTTTTCTTTAGACCTATATAGAGCACTTCTACAAATATCTTCTAGGACGGCAATAATTAACTGTTTTCAAGTCACTACTTAGCTATCCCCACCTTATCTATCATCTCTCATTCAGTGCTGGAAGGTCACACTCCAACTCTTAGGGTTTATGTCATGTTTTCCTTCATCCCACTAGATTTTGTTTCTTGCAGACATTTTTGTTTTCCTCTCACAGGACTCCTCCAGTCTGGGAGGAAGCCTGATCTTCATGGTTGTCTTTTGAAGCATTCCACAGACGTTTTGTAGAATCACAGAATCAATTAGGTTTGAAAAGACCTTTGAGATCAAGTACAACCATTACCACAGGACTGTCAATACCACCACTAAACCATGTCACTGAGGGCCTCATCTATCTGTTTTTGAAAACACTTCCAGGGACAGTGATTCCACCACTGCCCTGGGCAGCCTGTTCCAATGCCTGACCACCCCCTCTCCAAAGAAACTGTTCCTAACATCCAATCGAAACCTCTCCAGGCACAGCTTGAGGACATTACCTCTTCTACTCTACTGTCATTTATTACTTAGGAAAAGAGACGAACCCCCACCTCACTACAACCTCCTTTCAGGCTGCTGTAGAGAGCACTAAGGTCCTCACTGAGCTTTCTCTTCTCCAGACTAAACAACCCCAGTTCCTTCAGCTGTTCCTCATAGGACTTATTCTCCAGACCCTTTATCAGTTTCCTCTGCCATGAAGCTAACTAATAGTCTAAGCTACTGAAATACTGAGCCTGTAGGAAAGGCATGCTGATCAGCACAGCCTCGTTGTATATAGCACTCACTAAGCTTGCATCTATTCTGCAAAGTAAAACTTCTGTGTAGCAGTGTCAATTCCAACCTGTATTTGTGCACAGGCTATTTTAACAGGATTCTAGCCTACTGCTAAGCCTCTCAGAACTAACAGTCAAGGGTTACTACTAACGAGGAGTTAACAACACAGGGAAGAAAACCCATCTGGAAGGTATCAGGCGAGAATTTACGTCCTGGTGCACGGTGACACTAAAAACGCCCAGTGACGTGAAACAGCCACGTGCAGGGTCCAGCACAGCGCTCGCCTGATGGAGTTCCAGGGGGGGAAGAATCAGAGATGCATGTCAAAGTTGAAGCGCCCGAGCGCTCCCAGCTACTCCCGCCACGTCAGGCCGCGGCACACGAAAGGCGGCGCGCCGCCCAGCGCCCACAGCGGCATTTTTCCCTTCTCTAGTGAATAGCGGCGCTGCCGGGTTCCTACCAGCTCCTCTTCCGCTGCTTCGAAACGCGGGATCCCGCTCCTGACCCAGCTGCCCCTCCGCTGCCGGCCCGCGGCGCGTATCAGACCTGTTACACACCCCGCCTGAGGCATCCCACCCTAATGCCTCACACCAACAGCTTGCTCCCCGGTTCCTCCCTCGAGCACCCACCGTAGAACTGGAACCGCGCCACCGGCCGCCACGGGTCTCGCCGTGCGGCGGCGCTGGCGAATCCGCCCCGCAGCGTCTTGCCGCCGGCGCCCCACCAGCGGGCGGCGGCGCAGAGGAGCCACAGCAACCGCCACCGCATCCTCGGGACCTGCCGCCGGTGACCGCCCCCAGCCCCAGCTCGCGCCGCACGTCACGTGACAGCCTCCACCTCCCGCCCGGGTTACAAGCGGCCGCTGGACAGCCGAGCGGGAGGGCGGGAGCCGAACGAGAGCCAATGGGAGCCACGCGAGAGGGAGCCGTTGTGGGGAGCCGCCCACTCTAGGCCCCGCCCCGACTACGACGTGTCCGTTGCTGGGTTCGGCCGTAAATTGAGACCCAGCGTCGTAAAATACGACCGTCGCCGTTAAAGGCGGAAGTAAAGCTTTGGTCTTTTCGTGCCGCTGCCGCTCGGTTCAGAGCTACAAGTTCTGCTGTTCGGAGTCACGGGGAGAGAGGAAGGCGTTTTTAAATGAAGGCTCTTGCTGCAGCTGCGGCTCTGCCTGTGAAACCTGCGGGGGAGTGGCGGCTTCGGACCTCTTGGCTCATGCGCAGTCGAGAGACCGTGACGCAAGGCAGTGTGGGGGGGGGAATGAAGACTGTTGCCGTAAAGGGCGGACGATGTCGGAGCCGTCCGCCTTCGAGAAGCGGTTGCTGGTGACGGGTGGCGCGGGGTTCATGTGAGTGGCAGCCGTGGTGTCCTGAGTTCCGCCTCGGGTGGGGATTGCTTGCTCTCTTTCTCGTGGTTTGGATGGGAGGGGTTCCGCTGTGCTGCCTCCTTTGGGCCTGTCCCGGGCCGGTTCCGCGGCGTCGCTGCCTCGGGCCGCGTTCGCTCAGGCTCGGGCTGGGGGGAACGCATCGGTTTCTGCGCTTCCGGATTTGCCTTAGAGGCTCTCTCTCCGGTGCCGTGCATCAGTTGTCTGGGGATGTCCTGCGCCCGCTGGCGGTGGGAGTCGGTGCTCGGCCTCAGCCGTGGTGGGGTAGCGGGTGGCAGGACTTTCAGTGAGCTCCTGTGTTTAACCTTCACTCGCTAGTGCTGCGGGTCCTGATGGAGGAAGAGAAAATTCGAATCCATGTTAAGCTTGAGCCCGTCAGCGTGCTCAGAGCCTGAAACTGTGAGAGGACTAGATCTCTATGTACCACCCCCAGCTTGGGAGGCGAGATGATGTGAATAAGCCCTGCTAAACCTGAACTAGCAGGGTGGGCTTCTTATATCCACGACTGTACCAAAGAAAAATGCCGCCTGGCAGACAGGAAGTCGTTGCTTTTTGCACCTGGCAGTTGTGACAGAGGGTTGAGTGTTGAGAGTCAATATTGTGGGTTAGGAGATTTGACTGTTCTTCCTGATTTATAAAATTAATGCTGTAAAGTTATTTTAGCCTCACAGTTGAATGTAGCATGGAAGTGCCTGGTTGGAATTAGTTTTGGTAGGATTTTTTTTGTGGGGGTGGGGGACTGGGTGCTGTGAGCATTGTTGCTTTCTTTTGTTATAGCATGGACTTTTATGCTCTTTTTTTAGTTCACAGTATGCAGTTGTGGGCATTCTCAATAGAATAATGTTGACATATCTTGAAATATATTTGTGAATTTCTGTTGCTTGTCTTGAGTACAGTCCCCTCTAAACCCAAATCTCTTATAATAATAATAAGCTCTTAAACTTGTAATTTATCATGTGTCTGTTACCTTAATGCTATCTATGTAACTGTAAAATGTTTTTCTTCTATTCCACAGTGCTTCGCATGTAGTCGTCTCTCTTGTGAAAAACTATCCAAATTATCTGATTATAAATCTAGATAAGGTAATATCTTGTTTTCTTTCTTGGTATGGAAAACTGTTTTAAATTACTCTTAATGCAATCTATAGCATGTTGAAATTTATGTGAGGTATAATCTTCATTATTTTTGTTTGACTATCTATTTGCTCTTATTAAAAAAATCAGCTACTGTTCATGTGCCCATCACAAAGAATTAATTAAAAAATCAAGGCTTTTTTCGAGTTCTAGACATCAGTTTAATTTTTTTTTTCAGTTAAGATATATTTCAGAGTTTTGTGTTTTTAAAACATCATGTCTACTTGCGAAATAGCCTTTTCTGTTGTAAATTTTGTTCTCAAGCTTACTAGTGGTTAGGTGGGATTTGTGTTAGCTTATTTTCATGAAACTCACTTAGTGAGATTGTGTGTGTATTTCTCTTTAGCTCAACTACTGTGCAAGCTTGAAGAACCTTGAAACTGTCTCTGAGAAGGAAAACTACAAGTTTATCCAGGTAATAAAGGCTTCTTTTCCAGGGAATTTAACTTTATACTTATTTTTATGCCTTTGTATCAAGATAATGTCTCCAGGTCTCCCCAGCCACTGTTTCTATGTATGGTCAAGTTGAAATTACTTCTGCTAATTCTGTCTCTTACATGAAGTAGTCTTTTGGAAATGGTCTTTTGGACAAGATGGACTTGTATTAATCTCCTCCATGCCCCTCTGATGCTCTCTTAGATTTTGCACCTTCAAACGCTGCCACTTGTCATATTCCATCATGTGCAATGTACTCTTTCTTGTTCCGCTAGTATTAGACATCAGGCTAATTACTTTTGCTGCTGTAGATGCTGTGTAGTTCATAGTTGTCTTGGAACAGGACATTCAAGGTATGCTTTCTCCTTTAAAAATTTTGTCAATTAAATTAGTTTACTGTTTATACAGTTTTATCTTCAGACATGGGATAGATTTTTATTTATTGTTCAGACAAGTGTTCTGATGGGGGGGTTTGTATGTTGAAGTTCTTCTCCTCTATGAAAGTTGGTACTAATGCTGAGAAAGAGCTTTTTCAAATACATGGCAGATAAAACTAACACCAGAGGCAATGTAGGCCCGCTGATGAATGGGACGGGTGCCCTGGTGGCAGAAGGTACAGAGATGGCAGAGTTACTTAATGCCTTCTTTGTCTCTGTCTACCCTGCTGGAGGCAGTCCTGAAGAGCCCTGTACCGCTGAGACCTCAGATGAAGTCAGGTCAACGGAGTGGTTTGCCTTAGTCGATGAGGAATGGGTTAGAGACCAGTTGAGCAGTCTGGACATCCATAAATCCAGATGGGATGCACCCGCGGGTGCTGAGGGAACTGGCAGAGGTCATTGCTAGCCCACTCTCCATCATCTTTACCAAGTCTTGGGAAACGGGAGAGGTGCCTGAGCACTGGAGGAAAGCAAATGTCACTCCAGTCTTCAGAAAGGGCAAGAAGGAGGACCCGGGTAACTATAGACCAGTCAGCCTCACCTCCATTCCTGGGAAAGTGATGAACACCTTATCCTTGGTGCCATCTTAAGGCATATCATGGATAAGAGGGTTATGAGGGGCAGTCAACATGGCTTCACCAAGGGGAAGTCATGCTTGACCAATTTCATAACCTTTTATGAGGAAATAACACGGTGGATGGATGATGGCAGAGCAGTGGATGTGGTCTACCTTGACTTCAGCAAAGCGTTTGACACAGTCTCCCACAGCATCCTCGCAGCTAAATTGAGGAAGTGTGGTCTGGATGATCGGGTAGTGAGGTGGACTGTGAACTGGCTGAAGGAGAGAAGCCAGAGAGTTGTAGTCTATGGGGCGGAGTCTAGTTGGAGGCCTGTATCTAGTGGGGTGCCTCAAGGGTCAGTACTGGGACCAGTATTATTTAATATATTCATCAGTGATTTAGATGAGGGAATTGAGTGTACTATCAGCAAGTTTGCTGATGACACTAAGCTGGGAGGGGTGGCTGACACGCCAGAAGGCTGTGCTGCCATCCAGAGGGACCTGGACAGGCTGGAGAGCTGGGCGGGGAATAACTTGATGAAATATAACAAGGGAAAGTGTAGAGTCCTGCATCTGGGCAGGAACAACCCCAGGTTCCAGTATAGATTGGGGAACGACCTGTTAGAGAGCAGTGTAGGGGAGAGGGACCTGGGGGTCCTAGTGGACGACAGGATGACCATGAGCTGACACTGTGCCCTTGTGGCCAAGAAGGCCAAAGGCATCCTGGGGTGTATTAGAAGGGGGGTGGTTAGTAGGTCGAGAGAGGTCCTCCTTCCCCTCTACTCAGCCCTGGTGAGACCTCATCTGGAATATTGTGTCCAGTTCTGGGCCCCTCAGTTTAAGAAGGACAGGGACCTGCTGGAGAGAGTCCAGTGCAGGGCAACTAAGATGATTAAGGGAGTGGAGCATCTCCCTTATGAGGAAAGACTGAGGGAGCTGGGTCTCTATAGTTTGGAGAAGAGGAGATTGAGGGGTGACCTTATTAGTGTATATAAATATATAAAGGGGGAGTGTCACGAGGATGGAGCCAGGCTCTTCTCAGTGGCAAACAATGATAGGACAAGGGGCAGTGGGTACAAACTGGAACACAAGAGGTTCCACTTAAACTTGAGAAGAAACTTCTTCTCAGTGAGGGTGACAGAACACTGGAACAGGCTGCCCAGGGAGGTTGTGGAGTCTCCTTCTCTGGAGACATTCAAAACCCGCCTGGACACGTTCCTGTGTAACCTTATCTAGGTGTTCCTGCTCCAGCAGGGGGATTGGACTAGATGATCTTCTGAGGTCCCTTCCAATCTCTAGCATACTGTGATACTGTGATCTCTCTATCTGTCTGGGCTGCCTGAGGTTGCAGGACACGGGAAAAATCTATATAATTTAATTTTCTGAAATAGGAACTTTGTGGCAACTTTGTTGGAGGTAGTAAATGTAAGTTAAATGTACCTCTTGGATCCAGGCAGGGTGGGGAATTGAATTTGTCCTCGCCTATCTGGTGACTCCCATGGCGGTTTCCATGTTTGTAAATCACCTATTTATTTATCTCTAAGCTGTTGAGATAAAAGTTTCATGAGAAGAAAGGGGATGTCTGCTAAGCAAATGTAGTTTCAGCATGCCGAAACTGGCCTTAGGGTTATTGTTTCCTAATGTTTTTGATGGTTTCCAGTATGTGATATCAAATGTATGAATGCTTTAGAAAGGCCCTGTTACCTGGTTATATATTAACATTTAATTGCTGGGGTTAGCATTAACTTCTAGAAGGCACCCTATAAATAGATTCCCGTGTGAAAAGGGGAGTAGCAACAAGGAATGGTGTAGCTATACTGCTTATGAACTTGGGTAGGAGTATATTCTCACAAAAACTATGTCAG